TGCTCATGTACCTGAAGCTGACATAATAAATTTTTACACTGCCTGCGTCAGACCAGTCATGGAATTCAGCTGTCAAGTTTTCCACTTCGCCCTTCCTTCCTACTTATCTAATGCCCTGGAACGGGTTCAAAAGCGTGTTTTATCAATCATCTATCCACTGACAGGTTATGCGGATTGTTTACAAAAATCGGGCATCAAACCATTGAGTGACAGGCGTGTGGATGCATGCGAGAAACTGTTTAATGAAATCACCACAACACCAGTAGCTAATATGCATAATCATGTACCATCTAGATACTTTCCAAATTACGACCTTAGCCACTCAAGGTCTTTTGTTGTTCCTCAGACCAAAACGAACAGATTTAGAAACAGTTTTTTCCCTTCATCTGCAAGGCATATCAATAATATTAACTGACAATCGATTCTGATATTCAGTTTTAGACTGGCTAACATTTTTTTAGAAATTTACTAGTGTCATAGCTAATTTGTAATGTAACTTTAAACTTCTGTAATATAGAATTGTAAATTGTAATGTAATTTTAAACTTCTGTAAATATAGAATAACTAATTTAATCATTTCTCTTGTAAAATTTAGCACGCAATTCAGCCTCTTGGCTGCTATGTGTTAATCTTATTAAACAAACAATCCATCTAACAGTCTATCTATATATATATTATATGTATATATATATTATATATATATATATATATATATATATATATATATATATATATATTATATATATATATATTATATGTATATATATATTATATATATATATATATATATATATATATATATATATATATATATATATATATATATATATATATATATATATATATATATATATATAGGCTATATACTACAAATATTTAGTAGAGCGAATTAATTTGTTATCTTAAAATGTTTCAATTTCTCGCTACTTTAAGTTTCATGCCACTATCTGTAGCAATCTTCAGGCGATTAAATCCAATTCGTTAAATGGCGTGATCTATAGTTTGCTGACGTGCACCGTCATTATTCGCACGCGCGTTCAAAATTTCCCACCCAAAATTTCTCGCGATGTCGGCATTTTGCGAATATCTCGGGTCTTTTGTTCAATGTTAAATGAACATATAGGGCCTATATATTCACGATATTATTATTATTATTATAAATTTCCGAACTAGCAGTAACAACTGAATTACTTTGGAATTACAGGGTATAAGAACATAGGTATTCAATCTATTCTATATTTACAGGTAAAAATAGGTAAGTTAGATAAAAATAACGATAATAATCTAAAGTTTACTTATTTTTATAAGCACGAGACGCAGCAGGAATGAAACTGTTCGAAAAACGTTCAGTTCTACACCTAGGTACTAATAAGTTGGGATAAGACCTCAGATTATAAGTTTGAAGACTTTTAGGCGGTACTAAGGCATTCAGTTTATGAGTGAGTTCCAACATCTTCGAAAAAAGTCGCTTGCAAAGAACAGTTCTACGTTCGTAAAGAGTCATCAAGTTAGCTTTAAGCAAACATTCAGCATAGATAGGTCCAGGGAAAATAATTTTTAATGCCCTTTTTTGTATTTTTTCAACTTGATCACTCAGGTAATGAGGAAGGCCATAATGCCACACCTGACAAGCATATTCGACAATTGGTCGAATATGTGTACAATAGGTTGAGATCAGAATATGAGAAAGTAAAGCATTTCTTTTAAGAAGGCGCAGACCGTACAAACGCTTCGCGGCTTTCTTGCAAATGTAGTCAATATGGCAGTTCCATTTGAGGTCGTCCGAAAGGACAACGCCCAATAGTTTGGCCTCGGAAACGACGTCGACCTCTTGACCGCGAATGGTAATAGGGGCAAACGATGGAGTAAGCTTAGAAAAGCAGACACGCAATTCTTTGGTTTTTGATACGTTTAACTTCATATTATTGTTTGATGACCATTCAGAGCAGCTGATGATGTTAGCGGGTAACTGGGAAGGGGAATTGTTTGATATTATTTCCCAAAGGCTAGTATCATCGACAAATTTAACCGTAACACGGGATGAATTTCCATGTCTTTCAATTTTTCCAACAGAATGTTATGATCTAATCTATCAAACGCCTTGGAAAAATCAAGTAAACAAATCCGTATAGTGTTACCTTGTTTGTCAGCTGCTTCAAACCATTTATGTAGCATGTAGATTAATGCCATACTAGTGCTTGAACCCTTCAGCGAACCAAATTGCAAGGAATCAATTTTTTTGAGACGGAGTCAAGTAGCCATTTGTAGGGAAAGGATTCAAGAATCTTGCTGATAATTGGTGTGAGGGAGATTGGTCTGAAGTCAGAATCAACATCTTTAGGAGGCGAAGATTTTTGAACTGGTGTAATATTTGCTGCCTTCCATATTGAGGGAACAAATCCTTCACGAACTGATGAATTAAAAATAGAACACAAAGGTCGACACAACACTGAAGCGTTTTCCCGGAGAAGCCAAGAAGGAATTTCATCGGGACCAGCAGATGAATGAAGTTTAGATGATAATAGGGCCTTTTCAGTCTCCTCGACAGAGATGCAGAAATCATCTGGAATGTCATTTGTGGGAAGGGGGAGCCAGTTTAGATTGGGTAGGAGGACCCTACAGCAACGAACTTGTCGTTGAGCAAATTTGCTAAATCGGCATCAGAGTAGGATTTACCTTGGAACATCATTGTAGATACATTCTTAGAAGACTGAAGACCGGCAATATTCTTCACCGCTGACCACCATTTACGAGAATCGGACTGTTGAACGCCCGCGATACTTTTATTGTAGTAATTTAGTCGTGCTTTTTTGCAAAGTGCATTGACTTTGTTTCGATAGAATCTGAACATCAGGTTATTGCCAGCCGCCCATGCTGTTTGCCGCTTGGAAATAAGAGATTTTATTTCGGAAGTAATCCAAGGCTTGTCACTATCAATTTTGATTTGTTTCCAAGGCAAATGTTCGTTTATGATATTATCAACGATGGTGGAAAAATACTGGAACTGCTCGTCACAAGATTCCATATGGTGCAAAGGTAACCAATTAACTTTCGACAGATGATCGCTGATAATTGGGCGAGAGTCTCGTACTAAACGTGTAGACCTTGTGCCACCATAAGAGTTAGCTGGAAGAGGTTTAAGAACGATGGAATTATGATCGGAATGTCCAATTGGAGAAATTACCAGGGCAGAATTATAAAATTTAGAAATGTTGGTAAATATTTTATCTAAAATATTCTTTCCTCTAGTAGCGTCTTTGACTAACTGCTTGAGGTTAAAGGAACTGCATAACTGGCGATGTTTAAATTGGTTAAAATCTCCGGCCAAAATAATTCCTGCACCGGGAGTGGTGGAAAGGACAGAATCGATTGATTCGGTAAGGTGTGAAAGAAGGGCTTTATCGTCACTTCCAGGTGGATGGTACACGATTCCCAATACAATTGAATTTAAACCACGAGGCAAGCGGTGAGGTTTTAAGAGTAACCAAAGCGACTTATATTCATGACTTTCAATCTCTTTAAGATGAATGAACGGAAGCATGTCCTTTACAAAGGCACAGACTCCACCTCCTCGTCTGCCGTCGGAACGATCATGCCTCAGTAAGGAATAACCGCATAAATCTATTGCTGAATTAGGAACATTTGAAGAAAGCCACGTTTCGGTAACAACGACAATGTCCGATGTATAGGATTTTACTGTAGCAGACAGTTCGTCAATCTTGCTGATCAGCGATCTTGAATTAGAAACAAATAAATTCGGTAGAGAAGAGAGTAAGGGCGTTTTTTTGGTTTGGTGGCCACTAATATAAATTAAGTTATTTCTACGGTTGAACTGGTACTGGAACCGATTGATGCTGTAGTGTTCTTAATTGACTAGGTTTTGCATTTATTTTTCTTTGAAAGTTTGATACGCGATGGGTTATTCTCACAGGAAATTTTTGAACAAGAAGTTCAACGGGAATCGAACTGTAATTTTCATGCGATTCTCTCTCATTTTCTTTAGAATTTACTTTGCCGTCAGCCGGCGAACAAGATTTAAATGCGCCAACCATTCCGCTCTTCAAACATGAGGCAAGGGCGGGGGACGCTCCGGAAAGCTCTGCCGAAAAGGACAGTTATTAGTATTGTCACACTCAGACATGCATTCGTCGCCGTCTAAGACAATAAATTCAGAGATATCAGCTGGTATTTGGCCAATGCACACATGCTGAGTAACTGTCTCAGTGCTAGTTGTACTATCATTCAATATATTTGATGGGTTTTCTAAAAAGGGTTCCTTCTTCTGAGTTATAAATGGCTTGGATATTTTGATAAGAGGCAAGTTTCCAAGGGATTTCAGCGACAATGGCTCACAGTAAGGGGGAGAATTAAGATTGCGTCGAGAGTAACTTCGCGAGATCTTAGCTTTACTGATTTTGTCGTTATTCATATTATGCTCCGTTAACTTCACTTTGTTAATTTCGCTCTGGCCCAATCTGATCCAGTACAAGTTAGCATTATCGAGTTCGTCCACAGTCAACGTCCCGATATTCGTTTCCCTTTGTTGCGCAGATTGTTACACATGCGAAATATCCATGCGGTTATTCGGGTGAGTTTGATCCAGCTAGAATACGCAGCAGGATCAATAACTGGCTTCGCTGGTGCGACCTTTGCCTTCAAAACCGATTTCTTCAACTCCGCTTGACTTGGCTCTGGAAAATCAACTGCAACTTTATCAACAGGCCACTCAGAGAACTCAGACTTTAAGAACTCTGGTCCCTGAATCCAGGTTGAATCAGCGGAAATATCAGCTACAGACGTTCCTCTGCTCGCAATATCTGCAATATTCAGCTTCGTGCCAATGTGATGCCACTGAATTGGATCACTCTCCGACAGGATCTCTGCCACTCGATTGGCAACAAACGGACGAAATTTCCTTGGCTCACCCTTGATCCACCATAACGCAGTCGTGGAATCAGACAGATACTTGACACGACACTTATTAAGTCCCAGTTGCTCACAAACAGACTTCGCCAGTCGGACAGCAAGTTGACAAGCCATCAATTCTCCGCGCGGAATAGAGACTGTCTTGAGCGGCATTAAACGAGTTTTCGACATAATCAAATGGCACACGTAATCTCCAACGGTTGACTTTGCACGTATAAAGGCAGCAGCGGCGTAGGCTACTTCTGAAGCATCACAAAAGACTATGAGAAACTTGGACCAGACTTTCGAAGGCTCGCGGTAGATATAGCGCGGGACCGAGAAAGCTTTGAGCCAAATCATCTCCTCCTCCCACTTCTGCCATTCGATTGCTAAGTCCGGTGGAAGTTGTTCATCCCACTGGAGGCCACGAGACCAGGTGCGTTGCAGAAGAATCTTGGCACGAACAACGTACGGACTAGCCCAGCCCAACGGGTCGTATAATGCAGCCAGTCTTTTCAATTCAGAATCCCCCGCTTTGTATTTTGCGCCTTCGGTCGATCAATGTGTGCCAATGCAAAGCCTAGATTGTCGGACTTTGCATCCCATTTCACCCCCCAACGCACGCCCTGACGGAAGTTCTCCACTATTCACGTTCTTGTTTGGGACAGCCCTTTCTTCTTCGGGTATGGTTCCAGGACCTTTCGTGACGACGAGAGCCACTTGCGCATCGGGAATCCACCCTTCGCCATCAAATTTGTCACATCCTTCCGCAATGTTATTGCTTCATCATCATCATAACAGGACGTATATAAATCATCAACAAATATATCACGCTTGACCACTGCGGCTGCGACGGGCCATTCTTCCTTGTTGTCTTCGGTGGTGCGAAGCATAGCATAGTTTGCCTCGCAGGGTGAAGATTTATCTCCAAACACCATACAGTTCATCTCGTACACATCAGGTGGTCTCGACATATCCAATCCGCGCCATAAATAACGATGGTATTTGCAGTCCTCCGGTTCTAATCGCACATGACAGAACATATCCGACACATCACCAGTAAGCGCAACAGGTTTCTCACGGAATCTCATCAGTATGCCAGGTAAATCGTTGTGGATACTGGGTCCAGCTTGAAGACAATCGTTAAGGCAGATATCACCATGTTTAGCTGCGGAATTAAATACTACTCTCGGTAGGGGTTTGTGTGGGGAGAGAACAGGGTGATGGGGGTAGGAACCACTGTTCACCATGTTTTACGCGCTCTTCTTCCGATAACTTGCGTGCAAATCCCTTTTCAACATATGCATTTATCGCTTTTAAATATCCCTCAGCTAACTTCGGATCTTTCAAAAGGCGACGTTCAACCGATTCTAGGCGTTTCAGGGCAGTGTCATAATTATTAGGTAAACTGGGTCTGTTCGTTTTCCAAAGAAGTCCGAGTTGATAACCAAACTCCTGCTGCTTGCATGATTGATCAAGAATGTCCAAGGCTTTCTGCTCACCAGGCGTGTAAGGTGACTTAATCTCTGCCCGAACACCGAAACTGTCCACATCCCAGAACTTTCGTAACTCTCGATTAGCATCGCCTTCGTCCTCCGACACGTGGACACACAAGACACGCATCTCCTGACCATTGGAGGCGGGGACTGGGCCGGCAATCACCCAACCTAAGGGTGTCAACTCTGCATATGGCTCTAAATGCCCCCCGCGTCTAACTTGCACAGGTGCCATTAATGCAGCTGCATCTAACCCTAACAGGACATCAACAGTGCCCTTACTTATTGGCTCTATTGGGACATCAGTTAGGTGGGCATAATTATGCTTAAAGTGCCACTGCGATGGAAAATTGTGCTGTCTTTTTATTGTATATTCAGAAAGTATGTCAGTAGATGAACAAAATTACCAAATATCAGCGTCCAATTCCATTTCCTTCTGCCTTTTTTTTCAACGCAAACATGCAAATTTTTCGGCCGCCATTACTGAGTTGCCAATTAGCGAGATGTTGATTTCTTAGCCGGATGTGACGTCATTTACTCAACACGCTTCTTTCCCGAAGGAGAAATTAATATTATCAAAGGCTTATTCTAGGCTGTTTTTTGTTCAAAATTATGTCTTCTGACGAAAGCCACAGCTCAAATTTTGCAACACAATCATCTTGCGAACTCTCTTTTGCCGAAGACGTTTCTTGTGATAGCGGGGGTGATGTAAATATGGAGAAAAGTGTGGATTTGTGCGAGGCCTATGATACTTCAGTCGAAGCTCTTGCCACTGAAACGAAAAGTACTATAACTGAGAGAGAGCAAGAGCAGCAAACACTGTCTGCTGAATTGTCTGGGGAAACCTTAACGGGCACCTGGTACGTTTTGGATTGTATTTATTTACGTTTTGGTTTATATATTTGTGACATAAAACAAACATGCGATGGCCATGTTTAACAAAACAAATGGTCACTGGTCTCCTTATAAAAAATCATTGTCACCTCCGTTACATTGCACGAAACGTCTTCAATGAGAGATGGCTTAAAGATGACTGTGTTGCCAAACTGGAAATCCTAACTCACGTAAGAAAACATATTAATTTGCACAAAGTTGTGGGAAATATATTTCAATTATATATATTAATAAATATATTATATACTTCAATAGTATACTTCAATAGTATACTTTAATATATTAATGATCCATAGGTATAAATGTGGTAACTGTGTCCTGGCTCATTGTTGTTTATGTGAACCTTGTAAGAAAAAATGCTGGAAGAAAACATGCATGACTGCTGCTTATTAAACTGAGCATCCAGCATTTGATATTGGTTGTTTGAAACATTGGGTGTTAAAACTTCCTGGTTTAAGTTACAAAACCTGATTAAAAGGCTGCCAAATTATACCACTCTGTATACCGAAGGGAAAAAGAGTGAACCAGACTAAGTATTTCAATGTGTAGTTCTAGGCAATACCCCCTGCTAATGGAAGAGATTTAGTTAATTATGAACCCCCACCCCTCTAGATTTTTCTAATTGTCACTGACAGCTTGTTTCCCCCACCCCTATGGAAATTCTAAACAGTTTTTTACTACTATCATACTTTCAAGCATGATGTCGGTGTTTTAAAAAATATCTCGGCAAAATGTTCATTGTTCACATAAACAAGACAGAAACCGTATCTTGGCATATGCACAGCAAGGAAGGGGGTACCTTCTTGAACTGTTGGTATACAGCTCCACACAAGCTTCACTACTTGATATGCAACTGCCCTAAGAAACATACTTTCAAAAAGAAAATTTATATATTAACATGACAGCTTTAAAATTTAGTAATCCAAAAACTATCATGTTATTTGTGAGCTGTGTTCTGCACAAAAACACCAGGATTCATAATACAAGATCCTTGTTTGGCTTACATATAACTTAGCTATAGGCTTTTCAAGTTTTCTTGTTCACATGACAGGATATTTCAGTACCTTGCTCACCTTTACAGGGATTCAAACATTACTAAATTCAGAATATGATACTCAGATCATGACATTGTATCAGTTTGGCTGCCCCTGGCTGATGAGAATTTCTTACCACTCATCGCCAGAGTAGGGAGTGCTCTTTTTCTCACCAACCTACCTGGTAGTCATTCTTTTTTAAAGAAAAACATGCAAATATGTCTGGGGGTTGCCTTTTGAGGGAATGCTTAATGCCAAAAATTACTCCTACATGACTCAGTCAAATTGCATAGTTCCAGGAAATAGCCATACCCCCCCCCCCCACACCCCACCCTGCTACAGAAGAGATCGGAAATTCAAGAGGATAGGGGGTGGTGTTGACCATTGCATCAAGATTTCCAATGGAATGGGGGTATACTAAAAGTCTTGATATTTCCAGAAGGTATTCAAATACAACCAATATCAAATGCTGGTCATGCATGTTTTCTTCCAGCATTTTTTCTCACAAGGTTCACATAAACAACAATGAGCCAGGACACAGTTACTATTGAAGTATACTATTGAAGTTTATAATATATTTATTAATATATATAATTGAAATATATTTCCCACAACTTTGTGCAAATTAATATGTGTTCTTACGTGAGTTAGGATTTCCAGTTTGGCAACACAGTCATCTTTAAGCCATCTCTCATTGAAGACGTTTCGTGCAATATAACGGAGGTGACAATGATTTTTTATAAGGAGACCAGTGACCATTTGTTTTGTTAAACATGGCCATCACATGTTTGTTTTATGTCACAAATATATAAACCAAAACGTAAATAAATACAATCCAAAACGTACCAGGTGCCCGTTAAGGTTTCCCCAGACAATTCAGCAGACAGTGTTTGCTGCTCTTGCTCTCTGTCAGTTATAGTACTTTTCGTGTATTATGTTTTTTCAGTGGCAAGAGCCTCGGGCCCTCGACTGAAGTATCATAGGCCTCGCACAAATCCACACTTTTCTCCATATTTACATCACCCCCGCTATCACAAGAAACGTCTTCGGCAAAAGAGAGTTCGCAAGATGATTGTGTTGCAAAATTTGAGCTGTGGCTTTCGTCAGAAGACATAATTTTGAACAAAAAACAGCCTAGTATAAGCCTTAATTTGATAATATCAATTTCTCCTTCGGGAAAGAAGCGTGTTGAGTAAATGACGTCACATCCGGCTAAGAAATCAACATCTCGCTAATTGGCAACTCAGTAATTAGGCCGTTGGATGAGGGTCGAAAATGTTCAATTCCGTAGCACCCCTCGTGTAACTACATAATTTTTACATGAATCTATAGATTATAACTTACTTAGTTAGAATCCACTTTCCCCCAAGCGAAATAGTTGCACAAATTGAAGTATAAGCTCTTCAAAGTTCACGCTTCCTCGTGTTTCGGAATCCATGAACCGCCATTGTTGTGTTGCAAATGCGCATGCGCTTGAGCACAAAACACGTAATGCGCACGCGCAGATAAGAAAAACTGATCTCAACTAGAACTGGACAAGAAAAAAATTATGAAATGTGCGAAAGCAGGGCTGAAGTAAAACAAGATGACATCGGAATATTTTAAAAATATATGATATTTTTATGTTCTGTGCATTTTAATGGAGTTTACCAAACATTCTGAGCAATGTACCGTGTCGAGCCCTCGCAAGGAACACTTCCAAGCCAACATTACAATAATAACTTATTTAAAATATTAATTAAAATATGATGTTATTTTATACTACAGCAATTGCATAACGTTTGCAAGCAAATTTGTTTTTCAGGCTTTAAATATTATCACAATCCTAAACATTCAGGGCCGTACACAGCAGGGGAGGCAATATCATTATTAATTATTCATTGGATATTTGTGACGTTTTTCGGCGTATAGGCCTTACTGCCCCCAGCTGATGAAAACATTCTGCGTACGGTCCTGTAAGCGTTCTAGAACTCATACCGTAATTTATCAATTATTTTTTTTTTGGGGGGGGGGAAGGAGGGAGGTATTTCTAATATACACAAAGAATCTGTTTGCACGTTTTATTCTCTTTAAATATGCAACATCGAGTACTGTGATTTTCCCGTAAAATATCATAATTATCTTTCAAGTTTCAAATACAATTTCACTCCACGATTTTATACATTAATTGCTTACAGGAGAGGGCCGGGGCTGGGGAAGAAGTGGTGCTAAACAAAGAAATGACTATATACCATAAACTAAGTATTACTTGGTATTCACAATCTTATTTACTCTCTAAATCTTTTCCCGTCAATTAATTTTATTAGTCCGGGTAATGGTTGTTTATTGGCTTTGCGTCTAATCCATTATTAAGCCAAAGAACGGAGGTTAACTCTTTGCCTCAAGGGCCAACGTACCAATTCTGAGTTACGCTGACTGGAACCTCATTACGACTCTGTTTTTGTACCAACCAATCCTCAAACACTCGTATTTCGTTGTTCATGTACGCCTTTAGCGTAGCCATGTTAATAATAATAATAATAATAATTTTGGTGCCCCCTGAGAAAATTTATTCTATAAAAAGAAGTGAAACATAGCCCACCTACGTTTTTGCTGCCCCCCTGACCAAAAATCCTGCATGGCTACGTTTCTGGACATTTTGGAGAGAAGTGATGTTTTGATAAAGAGAAAACTACTCAGTCTGAGTCAGGTAATCTGTTGGTCTTGTTCCGATTTGCGTCTTAATGCTGTTGGATAGCATATTTAAATTTACTTGAGTGAGAATGGACAGTGTGTTGTGGAAATTTAAAGCTGTTAATGCTAAATAGATAAGACAAAAACTCCCTTTCTCTTGGTATGCGCGCGTCGTATGCGCAAGTTATTATAATTAGATTGCAAACGTCACGCCATTAATGCTGTTGCATAACAATACCTCCTAAAATCTACTAAGCTATTTCCTTCTCCTTTGTTTTTTTTTGATAAACTGATCACGATGATTGCACAAATATACTGAATTGGCGAAAAGGCGTTCGTGATAAAGGCGTGCATGATCAACAACGTAACACGAGTGTTTGAACACGAAATTGGCTGGTACAAAAACCGAGTGCGTAATGAAGTTCCAGTCAGCGTAGAGCCTGAACCTCCGTTCAATCTTATTAATAATGGATTAAATGCAAAAGAAATAATAAACAACGAACCTGGACTAATAAAATTGACAGGGAAAGATTTAGAAAATAAATAAGATTGTGAGCACCGAGTAACACTCAGTCATATTTAGGGAGTGGTCATTATTTATGGGGAGGGTGGTTGGGAAATGGGAGCGGGGGGG